CTTTTTGACAAATGGCGCCTGTTAAACAAATGAAAAATAAATGTATTTTTAATTTATTTATACTGTTTGTCTCATTTGTTTCTGTGTCCTTGTGATGGACTTGCAACCTGTCCAGGGTGTACCCCACCTCTCGCACAGTGATCGCTGGACATGGGCACCAGTGACCCGAAAAAGGAACAAGTGGGTAAAGATGATGGATGTATGGATGGATATTCTTGGCATTGTATGGTTTTACTTATCTTATCTTGAAAGAGCATTTGGCGCTTTAGCTTGTCTGTTTGTTTTAGTGATCACTAGACAGTTATTACAAAAAATATAAATCTACCAAAAACTAGCTGCCTTTTCTGCAAATATTGAAACATATTACAAGTGTTATTTTTTTATACATAAACTGACTGTTATATTTGCACTAAACAGACATTTATTTTTTATTATTCAACTTTAAAAATCCTGTTTTATGTGCATCCTTGGAGCCAGTTGTGCGAGGAAGCTTTTTCACATTTGACGGGCTTCCTTGGCATAAAGCCTTCTGTGTCTTGGTGCAGCGAGCCAGCACCAAACCATTTCATACCACATCTTAAATCTCAATGAATATTCAAAAGCATATGACCATTTTATGAAAAGAACATTTTAGACAATTTATTGGCCTCTAATATCAAAAAAGGTCTGAGAAATGGAAATTTCCCCAACTCGTTTGTAGCAGCAATTCCTCGTAGGTTCAGGATATTTTGAAAATGCTGATACATATTGTAAGATCACATTTTGAAGAAAAGGAATGGTCTGAGCCTTGTTAACATTCATTTTGCGATGAATGGCAGATATTTTGATTATCATCAGTCTAATATCATGTGAAGTAAACATTTAGTTGGTGCCAGGCACCAAAGTGAGTGACTTAGGAGGGAACATGTTTTCTACACCATCACTTAACTCACAAATGATAAGAAGTGAAAGCAGTTTGGAGAAAAACGAGCTCTTGTCAGTGTTTTTGATTTGTTGTCAGTGTTTCAACAAATCACAGAAAATACGCTAATACATTGTTTGGGGATTTTGTTTTCAAGTAAGGCTACTTTCAAACTGTTGGAAAAAACAATCTCGATTATTTCAGCTCCATTTAAGACTGGATCATCTGATGAGTCTGTCAGTCTAAATTTTGCTAGGAATTATAATTTTAGGAGCAATTAAAAAAAATAAATAAAAAAAGATGGAATAACTGAGTGCTGTCATTACAAAAAAAATATATTTTGAATCCCTTTTGAATCCATGGTAATCTCCAAACATTTTTTTTTTAATGTCTGATCTTTGCAAGCCGACTGTGCTACTTGAAAACTGAATTGCGCTACTTGTCATAATCTAATATTTATTGTACTAGATGGAGCCGTTTTGTCTGCATGATCTTGTTTATTGAAGCACACACATTTTCACCATTGGATGATGAACTACAATCAAACACAACTGCCTCCTGTGAATGTTTAAAAAAAAGTTTTTTTCAATCAATCTAGATTTCTTGTGCAACACAAGTTCAGGCTAAAAGGAAGCATGAGCTGTGACTGCAGTGTCAGTGACCTAAATTTTAAGAAAGACAAATGGCTCTAATAAAAATCCAGTTTATCTAAACATTTGTTTTACTAAAAATGAGCCTAAATGATAACTATATGAAATATACTTGTGTAATTATGAAGGATAAAGCAACAATAAAAAGTATTTAGTGTAAAAATAAACGTTGAATAACTGTTTAAGCTTTAAATTGTTTTTTTTTGTTGTTGTTTTTTTTTACAAACCACTGCATTCTAAACAGTAAAGCACTTTTTATTGACACATCTAGCAGCAGCATGCAGGCATCCAATTTAAGCACATATTCTTAATGCGTACTATTTGATAGCAAACACTTGTATGAAATTATGAGATTTTATATGTGATAGTGCTCAAAAACTGTTAGATATGCTAATTTTGAGCTCGACATCTGCAAAATGCACTGAATTAAAGCCAATTTTGTGTTTATAAACTGTGGCATTTTAAATTGAGTTTACTCCAAAGGTTCATGAGTTGTAGATGTTCATTTAACGACTAGTTTCTGAGAGTTTCATTCACATCCGTTTAGGGGCTCATGAAATATTTTGTTAACAGACAGACACAGTTGAGTACTATTGGCAAAGTTTTAAAAACACTTCATGTGTGGTTTGTTTGTGCTTAAGGTTCATGTTGGGAAGGACTCAGCTTTTACCACATCAAGTCTTAGCTCAATAATGGTAAAAAGGATGAGTTATAGACATGTTTGTGTGCTAAAGTTGGTTCTCTTGAAAAGGGTTCAAAAATTCAGATGTGATTTGTTCAGTCACTGTGTACACTTTAGAGTAAAATCAAAATATATTTAGAATTCATATGTGTAGTTAAGCCGCACGGTGGCACAACTGGTAGAGCTGCTTCCTCTCAGCGAGCAGGTCCAGGGGACTTTCTGGGTGGAGTTTGCATGTTCTCTCCGTGCATGCGTGGGTTTTCTCCGGGTACTCCGGTTTCCTCCCACAGACCAAAAACATGCATGTTAGGCTGATTGGTAACTCTAAATTGTCCCTAGGTTTGAGTGAGAGAGTGAATGGTTGTTTGTCTCGTTTGTCTCTGTGTCCCTGTGATGGACTTGCGACCCGTCCAGGATGTACCCTGCCCCTCGTACAGTGATTGCTGGACATGGGCACCGGCGACCCCCATGACCCAAAATGGGTAAAAGATGATGGATGGATAGATAAATGAGAGTTCTAGTTTAAAATGTAACATGTGGTTTAAATCATCAAAGTTCATGCTCAATAATCCAGGGAAAAAAAATCCAACAACGTTCAATCAGATCATCTGGATGCTTTTGGGTTTTTTTGTTGAGATGTTTTGTCCTTTATCCAAATGACTTCATCAGTCCAAGGAGCCACAAACAAATTGAAGGACTGATGAAGTCCTTTGGATTAAGGATGAAACTTCTCAACAAATAAAGAAACCGTCCAGATGACTGACTGAACTTTGTTGGATGCGTTTTAAATGTTTTATTGCCACTCCGGCAACATTCCTTTACACAAACCATTGACACAATCACGTTTTACTCTGTGATAACCCCCCACTACTTTCTCTAACACACCCAATCAGTGCATCCCATTAAGTTTTTTGGGAACCTCAATTTACTGACTGCGTGAGTAAGACATCTTTATGGGAACCAAATTGACTGTTCATTAATGAGCGGAAGCTATATCTAGAACCAGCATCTTTAATTAACACATCTCCAGCACTTCCTGTCTTTGATCTCGCTGTTTGATTTATGCCTCTGCAAGGAAAAGGTTGGTGGAGGGGTCCACGAGAATTTTGGAGGCGAAGAAGACGCTCCATGAGAAAATGATGAAACTGAGGTGCCCCTGTTGTTCAGGAAGTCCTGCAGCATGAGGACCTTTTTCTCTTTGTGTCAGGGGGGCAGCTCAATTACCAGTCAGCATGGCTATCGCTTTAATAGTCCGATAGGGCAATAATCCACAATCCATAGCATTTTAATGACTTTCTGTCTACTCGGGAAGTGCTTTACAAAACGTGGACACATCTGAGGCCGGTCCATTGTCTAGAAACCCATTGTCAAACTAATCAGTGTGACCAATTTGGAAATACTAAGTACTTTTTTTTATATATATAATATTTTTTTTTTGTGTGTGTGTGTAAAGTATTACAGTACAAAATGTAGTGGGTATTAATCTCTTTGATTCATAGCTCAATGTCACAAAGGTCAGGACAAAATGGAAAATGGAAATCTTTGTCAGCTCTCACACTGGGTTTACATCTCTCCACCTGATCATGTTCCCTTTTGTTCAAAAGCTTTCAAATAAAATGTTAGTTTTAATGTTTACGTACATGAAGAGGTGAATGTTCAAGATTAAGTTACTTGTCAGAGTCATGAGACAAAGATAATGATGTGTCTTCATGCAAGTTAAATCACTGAGCTCCTTGACTGTGTTCGTTAGTCTTCAGTGCCCTCTGGTGTTGGGTGGTAACACTGTGCAACTGTACAGACTGACAGATCAGGACATGTAAAATATTCTTTAACGCTAATTAGAAATCTGGCACAATATACATTTAACTGCCAACTTGCGTAAACTGAATAAAGTTGGTGTCATTTTTACCTTTCGGTCTTTCTCCAGAAAATAATTACAGCTACTGGAGAAAACACGGTCACCTAATTCAGATTCATTCAATCTTTATTTATACAAGTTAATCCCATTGAGCCTCGGGGACTCATTTACAAGAGAAACCTGATTTCTGATGCCCTCATTGGTTAAATGTTATGAAATATGCAGCTCCAAATGCTTCAGATATTTTCTAAGCACTTTCCGTTGCACTTTCATTTATGGGACAAACAAACTACAAAGTAAATCATTGTTGAGAACCAAGAATAATTTCAATAAAATGTGCATCATTTTCAGGAAACAAAACAATCTACATGTGAAACCACCACATTAGACTTTCACAAAGTCACAGCTGCCTTTTTTCTCATTCTTGCACAGGTGCTGGTTTCAGCAGACGTTATCAAGTAGTGAAATAAATATTAACAAGAACTTAAACCCTGTTAAATCTGTCAGTTTGCTATTAGTTGCCATGGACAATAACGATAAATGTATCTTCATAGTATATAAAATACACAAATGTTTTAGGAACAAGTGTATATTCATATCATTTAAGCAGGTTCTAAAACAGGTATATTGAACAATAAGAGCCAGAGTAAATTGATTTTTATTAAAAACTTCCCTTTTTTTGAGTTACTATGACTCATTTTCTACATTTTCTGTGAAACATTCTTCATTGCTGACCAGAGTCAGGTGTGTGTATGTGTGTGTGTTAGACAAGCGTGATAACAGTATGTGAGACAGACCACAGGTGCATACTTAGATTTTCTCAGAACAAAAAAAAAAAACAGCCAAACTATTCCACATCATTTCAAGGTCACGTTTAAATATAAAAGACAGACACAAGTGCACATTCATTGCAGAAACGCTTCGACAAAACGCAAACATGCTCAGGTTTCTGGTCTTGACGAGTCTCGCTGCCTTGGGTAAGAAAATGACATCATACAACGTGTGCCCATCACTGTTCCCATGTTTTTCATTTAGCCACACATTTGCTATCAGTTAGAATAATTTTATCTCTCGCTTGTTAATTTCTATTAGTCTTGACATAAGCTGAATCTTTGTGTTTGGTGTTTTTAACCAGTGCTGGCTGAGCTGAAGCCCCAGCCAAGGTTCCTGAAGGACAGCATGGAGAGGGTTGTTGGTGGTGAGGTTGCTACCCCCAACTCCTGGCCCTGGCAGGTGATGTTCAAACATCGTCTACATTTTATATGTAATCTGTTGGAGTGAAAGGGGAATTAGGAGCATTTATAACAGATAACAGTCAAACTGAGCTCTTTTTTTTAAAGTCAGATTTGCTTTCTTTCCCCAGATCTCACTTCAGTACAAATCAGGCAGCCTTTTCTACCACACCTGTGGGGGAAGCCTGATCCGTAAAGGCTGGGTTATGACTGCCGCTCACTGTGTGGACAGGTAACATAATGATTAACTGCAGATTCTTTAGCAGACTTTATTTGTTCATATTTTTTATTATTTCTTTGACCCAAATATCCCCAGCCAACTCCTGTCACAGTAATGGCATGTGATTTATTTCTGCTGGCTCCAAATGTCACCAAAATGTGGAAATGTGCACAAAATCATTTGTAACTGTCACATGGAAGATGAAGTGTTTACTTTAAAAAAAAAAAGGCAAAAACAACTCTGAAGTAATGAGGCAAAAGTAACAAAACCAGTACAATGATTTATGGTCATTCCTCTCTGCATTTTCCCCCCCCCCCCTGCAATAAAAAAAACCCCAACAAGACTAAACTGACTTGTTTTTAATAATTGATTTTATTTTATTTTTTTAAATCGTTGCAGCCCCAGGACGTTTCGTGTGGTTCTCGGGGATCATGACCTTAACGTCCACAATGGCAGAGAGCAGTTCATCGTTGTCAACAAGATCTACATCCACCCCCAGTGGGACTCGAACAGAGTGTCTAATGGGTGAGGATCACTTTTTAATGCACATTGTTGACTCTAAGAGCAAAGTGGTTTGTTTGCTAACTGATTTGTTGCATGTGTGCAAGGATGTGTGTTATACAAAGTTGATTTTTTTAGCTCACCATGTGAACGCTTATGAAGCAGTCGCACAATTGTGATCCATTTTTCTTCAGTACATTTTTCAGCATCTTTCTCGTTCCAAAAACTTTTGTGTTATTCCAACAAATCATATATCAAAACATTCAGCTCATTCAGCAGAAGGATGCTATGATATTTGGTATTGGTGAAACTGAAGCTTTTTGAAATATTTAGCCTTTTTTTTTCTCATAGAAAATGGATTGAGTTCATTTTCCATCCTTCAGATCTTTAGATCTGTTTACAACCTTATACTGCTCCTTTCACGTTTTGTTTTGGTTCAGCTTCTTTCAGCTTCCTTCTGCAAATTTAAACTTTTTTTAGCTACTTTCAGCTAAGTTCAACTGTTCTTTCAGCTGTTTTGTGCTCCTTTCAGGTTCTTTCTGCTAACTGCAACATGTTTGTGCTTCTTTATGCTAATTTCAGCTTATTCGTCTTTCAGCTTATTTCTGTGTTTCAGCTTTTTCTGCTATTTCAGCTATTTAGCTGTTTTATGCTAATGACAGTGTTTTCAGCTAATTCCACATTTTTGGTACTCATTTCAACTTTTTTTCTGCCTAATTTATCAAAACTGTGCTCTCTTCGGGCAGCACGGTGGCACAACTGGTGGAGCTGCTGCCTTTCAACAAGAAGGTTACCGGTTCAAATCCTGGTCCGGGGCCTTTCTGGGTGGAGTTTGCATGTTGCATGCGTGGGTTTTCTCCGGGTACTCCGGTTTCCTCCCACAGACCAAAAACATGCATGTTAGGCTGATTGGTAACAGTGAATGAGAGAGTGAATGGTTGTTTGTTTGTCTTGTCTCTGTGTCCCTATGAAGGACTTGCAACCTGTCCAGGGTGTACCTCGCCCCTCGCACAGTGATTGCTGGACATGGGCATCGGTGACCCCCATGACCCAAAATGGAAGAAGCGGATTAAAGAAAATAGATGGATGTGCTCTCTTCACTTCCTCCTTTTAAATATAAGCGTCTTTCTGCTTTTTTAGTTACTGTTCAGCTATTTATTTTGCTACTTTCATTTTTTTTCCAGATAAATTCCACTTTTTATGCTCATTTCTGCTTCTTTAATCCAAATTGGGCACAGTTGTGCTCTCTCCACTTTTTTTTTTCTTTTTTTTTGGTAATTTAAGCTTCTTCCTGCCTTTTCAGCTACTTTTCAGCTATTTTGTGCTGATTTCAGCCTTTTAAGCTACTTTGTAATTCACTATTTTGTGTGCTCATTTCTGCTTATTTAAACCACATTCAGCAAATGTGTTCGTTCTGCTTTATTCTGCTAAATCGGACTCGTTCTTCCATTTATTCTACATTTCAGCATGTTTTTAGGTAACTTCAGCTGTTTTCAGCAAGTTCTTCAACAATAAGTATTCACACTGCATGTTCACAGGAAATGAAATTTGGCTAGTTGGGGATTGAATGCAACCTCAGTTTGTTGGTAGTCTAAGCTTCAACCAAAAATGTCACCTGCAGCTGTTTGACATTTTTCTTTTCTCCTTCATTTCAGGTATGACATTGCTCTGCTGCAACTGTCCTCTGATGCCATCCTGAACTCTTACGTCCAGCTTGCTGCTCTACCTCCTTCTGGCCAAATTCTGCCTCATAACAATTTCTGCTACATCACTGGATGGGGACGCACCTCCAGTACATCTATTTATAATTATTTATTTAGATTTGGCTGGCTCTGACCTGCTCATTACATTGCTGTTGTTGTTTTCTCTTAAGCTGAATGCATTGTTTCATTTGTCTTTGAACCAGCTGGTGGGAGCTTGTCTGAAGAGCTCAAACAGGCCTACCTTCCTGTGGTGGACCACAAGACCTGCTCCAGCAGCGACTGGTGGGGCAGTACTGTGAAAACCACCATGGTGTGTGCCGGTGGTAAGGCTGAGGCTGGATGCAATGTAAGTTCTCAAAGAAGTGTCAATTTAATTTGCTTCTGCCATGACAAATGTCTTTGTTTGTGTTATGACATAGACTGATGAAAGGATGTTTAGACTCAAACATTTATCTTTTTAGATTTTACTCTAAATTTGTCTTTTTTCAGGGAGACTCTGGCGGCCCTCTGAACTGCCAGGTCAATGGCCAGTACTATGTGCATGGTATTGCCAGTTTTGTGTCAGGATATGGATGCAATTATCCCCAGAAGCCCACTGTCTTCACCCGTGTGTCTGCCTACATCGACTGGATCAACTCAGTGAGTGTTAAAAATTACAATCATTTTATATAGATGTGAATTTATCCCATTTTGTAGACCAGTGGTTCCCAACACT